CTATCAGAACTCCTTGGATGGGCTCTCCCGGTGAGTTGGGGCTCGTTGAGGATTCTCCTCCTGCCCCCCAACTCCCACCTGGTACGGAGTGAGCAGTGTCAGGCGGGCCACAGGCGTCACGCTGCTCCCTGCTCCCCAGGCTTGTCTCCGCCTTGCCAAAGGCCCCCCTTGGTGGGCAGGGCATCTATGCCAGAGATTACTTGTCAGGTACCCCTTTTGGATCCAGGGGTGATTCTGGCCATAGGCTTCTGTGCCGTAGCAGCCATGACCACCCACCCATCCCCACCCTACAAGGGGAGCCAGGGCCCACCTGGCCCAGGAAGCCACCCTTCTAGATTCCTCCTCCTTTCCAAGCCCTAGTCCCTCTGGGGGGCTGGGGACAAGAGGGCATGTTGAAGCCACCAGGACGGTTCTTCATGCCCTTTCCCGTGGCTGGCCRAGGTCACCTGACCTTCTTCACCCCCTTATGGGATCCCATCAGTGGGGTTCACTAGGGAGAGGTCTGTGGGAGAGCAGAGGAGTAGCCCCGTTTCCTCACATCCTCATGACCCTGGCCCGTGCTGACGCTGGTACTGCGTGAGAGTCTCTCACACCTGCAGGAAGTCCTACCCCAGGGCCTGCTCCAGAGCTCCCGGCTCCCACCATGGGGGAGGCTGTGGGACCCAGGGCTGCCTTCTGTCAGGAAGCACAGGAGCTGGGGCACCAGATCCAGGTGAGGGAAGCTGCCCACCTTCCGCCTGCGTGGCAGGTGTTCCTGCCTTTCCTCAGCCAGGGCAGCCCTGTCACCAGTGCTCTGCTCTCCAGGCGCCTAGAGAATCCTAACTCCTGGCACTAGGGAGTGTCCTGCCCTGGCCAGTCTAAGGCCTCCCCAGGCACAGAATTTACTCCTAGAAGCCTGGGGAGCTGTCGATGCCTGTGGGCTCTCGACCATAAGGGAAAAGACAGCAGCTCTTTGAGCCCTTAGGAGACCCTTAGTTTTCTACAAGAGCAGCTTGCTTCTGAGTCCCCACAGGAGCTGGCAGAGTTGTGTTCCTGAGAGGCCAGGGTGCCGGCAGAGCAAAGCACGGTGGCCCAAACCTCGTGGGTGTGTGTAGAGCAGAAGGAGCAGGTGCACTCACTTCCACAGCTACCTCTTGCACACACAGTCACTACCAACRGGTGGTCCCCCTCCTCCTCTCCCTTCCCCATTGATAATCACTTCCTGAAGAGGGTCATAATTATTCCCAGATATCACCAGTCCAATGACTTCCTCCTCCCAGTGCAATTTCTCACTTCCTATTCCAACCTCTGGTTCCTGGGCTGAGCCATACCCTGGACCTGGCCTGTTCCGCTTGTCTTCCTGGGCCAGGGAGACCTTGGCAAATGGCATCCAAATGGGTAGGCAAGTCACAGCCACCGTAGCAGATGACTCCTATTTATTTTGCGTAAGATTTTAATTTGTATATTTTTGTGATTTATTTTGGCATTGTTATATGAGTTTGACTCTCGGGGAGTTTTGTTGTTATGACTCTTGTGTCTTTTGTCACAAAACAATGATAATATTTGCTAAACAATATACGGAATTTATTTTTGATTGGTAATAAAAAATGAAATATATGTAAGTCTTGGTGAGTCTGTGGCTTGCATTTGAGTTCTATGTTCAGCGTCTGTGACAGAGAGGGAAGTGACTGTGGCTGACTGCCACTGTGACAAGGCATGGAACATAAAGTGCCCTGGGGCTGTGGAGCAGTGAAATGCAAGCAGAATTGTAACTTACACACAGAATCAGGGCTGTTGTCACAAGTGCTGGAGAGTGGCAGCTGCTGGCAGACATTCAGAGCAAATGTGCTCAGCTGCCACCAGCATAGTCCTGCAAGCTGGAAGCCCCGTGGCTCCTGCCTGCAGGTCCTGGAGGGCGTGTTGGAGTGAGGGTGCTGTCCTTCCCGTTCTGGGGGCTGAGAGATTACCAAGCCTGATCCAAGAATGTGATTGTATGATTTCATAACACAGTTGCTGTCTGTCCACCCTGGTGGGCTCACATGGTTTCAGAGTTGGAGCGCTGGGGTCCCCTGAAGGGCCACTCCCAGAAAGGCAGCTGTGGAATCTTTTTTTTTTTGGTACCAGGGATTAGGATTGAACCCAAGGGTGCTTAACCACTGAGCCACGTTCCCAGCCTTTTTTTATATTTTACTTAGAGACAGGGTCTCCCCGAGTCACTGAGGCTGGTTTTGAACTTGCTATCCTCTTGCCTCAGCCTCCTGAGCTGCTAGAATTAGTGGCATGTGCCACCATGCCTGCCATCAACTGTGGAATCTTGTGGCACACAAGAGTCCAAGGCCAGGGGCTGGAGCAGGCATGGCTTGACAGCAGACCAATTCCGGAGGTATCTGAAGGCAGGCAGGCACTTGGGTAGCAGCAAAGGGAAGTGGATACTTTAGATAAAAGGAGTAACACACACAGTGAGTGTGTGGTTGGGCAAGAGGGAATGACGTTGGTAGTCCCCCCACCTTGCCCGCCCCGTTCTCATGTGCTAGCTTCTGCTGCATGCCAGCTGCTACCAACCAACCCCTCAGGGAGTTGAGTGAGGAAGACCCCCAAGGGAGAGGCACACAGGGCCTATCTCCTCCTAGGACATGTCTCCCGAGAACTTTTTTTTTGGTGCTGGGTGTAGGACCCAAGGCCTTCCACATGCTGAGCATGTGCACTAGCACTGAGCTACTCCTCCAGCCCCTCTCCTAAGTCTTTGTGAGGCTCACTCATATTATTTACACCTGGTTCAAATATTACCTTCTTAGAGAAGCCTTCCCTGATTGTTCCATTTCAATCAGCATCACCCTCGACCCCTCTGTCTCCTTGTCTTGTCTTTTCTCCATAGCACTTATTAATAATAAAATACAGGTATTTCTTTTCTGTTGTCCCAGGACTCTCAGCCCAGGAAGGCAGGGACTTGATCTTATTCCCACAACACTCCAGCACTGGAACCATCCCCAGTACACTGCACACATCAGTGCTGGAAACACTTGTCAGGTGAATGAATGAGAATTAAGCCAAGTACTGGATTCTGTAAGGGGAGCACATAGCTCCCATGACCTTGATCTGACTTATCAAGGTGGAGCTCTTGGAGGAAGGGGCATTGGAGCCAAGACTTGAGAGATGAGCAGGAGTTAGCCAGTGGTCACACCCAATAGCTACAAATTTATTAAACAAAGTGGAAATGTCTTGATCCAAATGACCAGGAAGAAAAATGGCCCCGGGAAGGCCAAGGAGGTCCAGTGTCTCCAATAGAGCTGTGACTGACTAGAGTTTGGGCAAATGGCATTGAAAAAGGAAGAAGCCCCTCTAAGCTGCTTTTTTGCCCCATCCTGGGTTCTTTGAATCTTTGGATATTGAGAGTTTAAATGACCATTTGTGTTTTCCAAGTTTGAGCAAATTGTTCTTCCACCCAAAAGCACCCCCCTTCCCCAAGAATTAGTTATAGGTTGTTTTTTCAAGAGAGCCTGAGGCCAGGGAAGAAAGTTACTTGTGGAAAGTGAAAGTCCTGTCTCCTGTCTCAATCCATAACAAGTTATTTCCTCCTGTCCTTTGAACTCATTTTTTGCTAGTTAATGACTTCTCAGCCATTTCGAGCACATCATCTGTTCTAGCTCATTGTCAGCATTTTATCTTGACTTGAAGACAGAAGTGAGGGGGATGAATCCAGCATAAAGCTTGTACTTTTTCTTCTTCAAAAGAGACACGAAAATCCAGTGGAAAGGTGCACTAATGTCATTATTGCTTCTGCTAGTGGCTTGCTCCGTAATCTTCAAGAACGAAGCAGCCAGTGGAAGGACACAGCACCATCTGGATAATAAAAATGGAGAACAGAGAAGCATTTGGCCCAGTTGCTCTTCTGAGTTTACAATGTAGAAGAGACAAAGAGTTTTTCACAGATATTTTCCGGTTTGTCATTCACTGTGGGCTTACCTGGTTTTGCACACAATATGGTTCACTTATGGCCATAATACATATACTTTTTAGAATGATATTCTCAGGAGACAGCAAATTGTTTCTATAGACTCCTTTAAAGACCATTTAAAATGACGTTTGAGCTTTATCAACTGTCTACTTGTGCTAGAAAGCCTGAAGAACAAAAAAATTAGACAAAAATACAAAAAACCACTTAATCTGGGTGCTTATAGAGAAGACTTTTTAGCAGTTGGTCTGTTTCCKTCTGGTCACATACAGATCATTTAAAACGAGCCACACTGTCCACCGACCATACTGTCTTCTAATATACCAGCAGCAGGCACCCTCTTGAGTAGCTCTTGTTGGCCCTGGGGAATCTCCCAAGGATGAATTGTGGGAGTGGAGTCAGCAGATCCTTAAATTGCCGGCAGCTTCCGCCTCCTGTGGCTGGGATGGTGACCAGGGTGTTGGGCAGGTCGCCTTGGAACCCGGCATGCACGCTGTCCTCGCTTCACTTTTCTCTTGTAAGACATTAATTACATGCAGCGGATGTGTCAGGCTCCAATGAGGTTGTGACTTTGTGTTTCCCTGGTGGGACCGAGTTCCCTGAAGGAAGTGGCTGTGCCTTGATGTTCCCAGACCTGAAGCCACAGCCCCGCGCGACCATAAACATTTTCAAGAAACCTTAGCTTCCTGAATCCAGGCTCTGGTTCTTATTCAGCTCCCTTGGCCCTGAAGGGTTTCTGGGCCTTTTCTTAAGAAAACATCCCACTTTCCATGCACTTGAATCTCCGTGTGCAACTTCAGGAGCGTCTGGGCCCGTGGTTCGAGTGAGGCCCTGGGAGCTTCCCAGAGCGCTGTCGGGCCTTCGGGCGCTGGAGTCCGGAGCTCTGCCCAATACCCCGCGTCCTCCGGCGCTGGCGGCCGCTAGCCCTCGGTGCAGCGGCTAGCGGCAGGGCCGAGCACCCCACGCCCCCGGCCCGCCCCGCGCGGCTTGTTTACTCCCCGGCGCAGCCTAGTCCGACCCCGGGGCCCGCCCTCGCTCCGCCGCCCATTGGCTGAGGCGGCGCGAAGGCCGGCGATGATTGGCCGGGGAGGCGGGGGCGCGGGGCGAGCGGGGTAGGCTGCGCGAGAGGCCAAGAGGGGCTGCAGGCGATGGCGGCGGCTGCGGGTCGGCTAGGTTGGGTACTCGCCGCGCTCTGCCTGGGCAACGCCGCTGGGGAGACGGCGCCGGGCCCGCGAGTGCTGGGCTTCTGCCTGGAGGAGGACGGAGAGGCGGGCCCAGGGTGGGTGCACGGAGGGGCTGTGCGGGCCGCGCCGGAGGCCACCTTCCGCCTGCGCCTCCTGGGTTCGGGCTTCGCCAACAGCTCCTGGACCTGGGTGGCCCCCGAGGGGGCAGGCTGCCCCGAGGGTGGACCAGCCACGGCGCCCGMGGAGACGGCGGCTCCCGCGGGCCAGTGGCGCGCGCTGTTATGCCTGCGCGCCCAGGCCGTGCCCCCAAACTCGGCGCTGCTTGCAGTGCGCGTGGAGCCGGGCGGCGGGGCAGCTGAGGAGGCGGCGCCGCCCTGGGCGCTGGGCCTGGGGGCGGCCGGGCTGCTGGCGCTGGCGGCGCTGGCGCGGGGCCTGCAGCTGAGTGCGCTGGCGCTAGCGCCCGCCGAGGTGCAGGTGCTGCGCGAGAGCGGCTCGGAGGCGGAGCGTGCGGCGGCGCGGCGCCTGGAACCCGCGCGGCGCTGGGCGGGCTGCGCCCTGGGCGCGCTGCTGCTGCTGGCTAGCCTGGCGCAGGCGGCGCTGGCGGTGTTGCTGTACCGAGCGGCCGGCCAGCGAGCGGTGCCCGCGGTGCTGGGCTGCGCAGGGCTGGTTTTTCTGGTAGGAGAAGTGGTTCCGGCCGCTGTGAGCGGGCGCTGGGCGCTGGCGTTGGCACCGCGCGCTCTGAGCCTCAGCCGCCTGGCAGTGCTGCTCACCCTGCCCGTGGCGCTGCCAGTGGGGCAGCTGCTGGAGCTGGCGGCGCGGCCCGGGCGGCTGCGCGAGCGCGTGCTGGARCTAGCGCGCGGAGGCGGCGACCCCTACAGCGACCTCAGCAAGGGAGTGCTGCGCTACCGGACAGTGGAGGACGTGCTCACGCCGCTCGAAGACTGCTTCATGCTGGATGCCAGTGCAGTTCTGGACTTCAGCGTCTTGGCCAGCATCATGCAGAGCGGCCACACGCGCATTCCGGTGTACGAGGAAGAGCGCTCCAACATCGTGGACATGCTCTACCTCAAGGACTTGGCCTTCGTGGACCCCGAGGACTGCACGCCGCTCAGTACCATTACCCGCTTCTACAACCACCCACTCCACTTCGTTTTCAATGACACCAAGCTAGACGCAGTCCTGGAGGAGTTCAAGCGAGGTAAAGGCCCGGGAATCCAGGAGGAGATGCACATGAGTGTCCTGTCCTAGAAAAGGGGTGGGGGATATGAGACCTCCCCTTTTCCAGAAGGTGATRGCCTTGAATCTGGCAGTGACTTTTTGAAAAATTTAGAGGTGGATGAAGTGTCCTAGAAATCCAACACCTTGGCACCCCCTTTGGTGAAACTTTCCATTTACTTCTAACACCCTGAGGCCACTTCTGTACACTTTGGGCTTTGTATGACCCAAACTCTTGGATAGAAACTAAAAGGACATGCAAAAGTAGATATCTGGGTGCTAGTATCTGCACAGGTTTAATATCAAATTAGATAGACCATGATATTCCTTGGGCCTTGCCGAGGTCCCTGTTGCTGCCTTCCTGGTTGCAGACAGGGAGTGACTCATAAATACTTTCTTGAAGGTGTGGAGAAAACTTTCACTTTGATTTCACCAAAACAACTTTATGGGTGCTGATTTAATCTCCCTTTCCCTTGTCTTTCCTTCGTTTTGTTTTCCCTTTTAATCCCCCTCCCCTTTTCTAACCCTAAGTGTGTTTCTCAAGTTCTCCCTTAACCCCACATCTTCACCCCCTCCTTTCATCTGATTTGCTGCTCACAAGGTTGGAGGTGGAGATTGTGGGGCCCTCCAGGTGAGAAGGCAAGGGCTCCCTTATAGTCCCCTCCACCATCCTCAGAGTGCTGCCCAGAGTCTGACAGGCTCCCTGGCCACCAGCCATGCTTCCCACACCCGAACTCCTGCAGGATAAGGGGAGGGGCAGCCCAGGGCTCTGGATGGACTTGACCCTAAAGGCTGCCTGATGGGAGGTGAAGTGAGTAACCCCCCTGCTATTTCTGGCAGCTGGGAAGTCTCCTGGCCCCAGGTCTGTGTGGGAGCTGCCTGGTGAGCTCCTGGACAGTCAGGGCAGGAAGATGCCTTTCTCATAATGACTCCCTTGTGGAGCCAGGCTCCCATATGGCCTCTCCATGCCTTATCTCCCTTCTTTTTGCTTTTTCTTTGGTACCAGGGGCACTTAACCACTGAGCCACATCCCCAGCCCTTTTTTATATTTCACCTAGAGACAGAGTCTCACTAAATTGTTTAGGCCCTTGGTTAATTGCTGAGGCTGCTGACTTTGAACTTGTGATCCTCCTGCCTCAGCCTCCCAAGCCGCTGGGATCATAGGTGTGCACCACTATGCCTGGCCCTCATGTCCTTTGATCCTTGCACCAGTCCTGCATGTAGCTCAGGGTTGGGTGAGAGGTTTGGATGGTCTGTTAAAGAGCATGGCAGTATTCCTGGCCATTTCCTGAGAAAGCCGCGCTGCCCACCTGTCTCTGGGAGGAACCCCGGGCAGACCCAGCTGGATCCTCCTGGTGGTGAGCATACTGTCTGGGCCTGCAAAGCCCTGAATCATGGTAGTGCCCAGCGAGGCAGCTCTAGAGGGGAGTGACAGTGGGTAGCCCTGAAGTGGGCCGGGTGGGTTCTATCCTGCCCCCGCCTGCTTTGAGCTCCTGCACCCATCCTCTCTTGCTCAAGGTCCTCAGCTGTCAGTGACGAGCATAAAGGGACTGGGGATGACATGTCCTGCATGCTGCTCGTGAGCTTGGTAGCAGAGCAGTGGTAGGTCCTGGGTGGGCTACGGGTAGATAGTGTTTGCTACTCAGGGAGAGGATTTAGCAGAGGGGGTGAACCCGGAAGTGCAGGTTCCACTTCCAGAAAGGCCCAGGGTAGAGACCATAGTTGTCCCTTTGATATTGTAAGCTCTGGTGTCTGGCTACAGCCGGATTTGTGATTTCTCTGCTTGTGAGATGGTGGGGGAAGGCGTGCCCCTCTCTGGAGCTAAAGGGAAGAGCTTCAGGAGCAAGACATAGTGTTTAGGGTAAGGTTGGTGAAGACCTTCGTTTCCCAAAGCCTTGGGGTCACGATTTGCATTGCCGTGGTCTTGCCTTTCAAATTTGGCAGATAAGCTTGGCTCAGAGCCATGAGGCACCCTAGATGGGAAGAATTAAAATGTTCATGGAGGCAAGACGGGTTGGGAGAGGTGTGTGTGGGACCAGGGCTTGATCCCTAGGGCCGTAAGCAGAGAGGAGTTTGGAATGTCCTGGAAGTAAGGGAAGGGACACTTTCCAAGGGAAGGAGAGTGGTCAGGAGAGGCACCTGGGATGGATGAAGTACCTTGGCAGGTGGCAATTGGGAGAACAAGTAGGATGTGACTCGTATTGTACACAGGCCTCCACCAGCATGGACCAAGGGGAGCCAGGGTCGTGACTGGCTGGGAGGGAGCTTCTGCTCTTAGTTTTTTTTTTTTTTTTGCAACTTTAGGATTATGCTTTTTATTACTGAATTACCATGGCTATCAAGAGACTATATATTATATGAGCTTTTGAAATTACAAATGAGATTTTTTTAAAAAATTTGCCCATTAAAGTTATAACTTTCTCAAGTTTCTTTTTTTTATTTATATATAACAGTGGAATGCATTACGACTCTTATTACACATATAGAGCCCAATTTTTTGCATCTCTGGTTGTATACATAGTATATTCACATCAATTTGTGTCTTTATACATGTACTTTGGATAATAATGATCATCACATTCAACCATCATTAATTACCCCATGCCCCCTCCCTCTCCTCCCACCCTCTGCCCTATCTAGAGTTCCTCTATACCTCCCATGCTCCCCCTCTCTCTCCCACTTCAGACTCCTTATATCAAAGAAAACATTCAGCATTTGGTTTTTTGGGATTGGCTAACTTCACTTAGCATTATCTTCTCTAACTCCATCCATTTACCTGCAAATGCCATGATTTTATCCTCTTTTATTGCTGAGTAATATTCCATTGTGTATATAAGCCACATTTTTTTTTATCCAGTCATTTATTGAAGGGCATCTAGGTTGGTTCCCTTCTCTTAGTTTTTAAGGTGGGGCAAGTGGAGCAGGTTCCGACGGACCTGCTGCCACAGTACAGGTGCTCCTGTCCAGGACGGGCGGTCGGAGCAGGTTGTCAAACTGCCTGGTCCCGGAGGGCTGGGGATTGATCCCTTCCTGGTTCAATCAGACTGTTCCAGAGCCATCTGACAACATGCTGGAAAGCCTCCTTCTAGAAGCCAGTGGTGGGGAGGAAGGACAGGGTGGGACCTGCAGTGGGGTCACTTTGGTCCTCCTTGGCTTCCTGGTTCCTGGTGGGTGAGGGCCATTCTTGGGGCAGAATGGCCCTGTCTTTCTGGTGCCGCCCTGGAGCTGCCTTGCCTTCTCTTTCTGTGGCCTTTTGGTGTCCTGTGTTTCTCCTTGTTAAAGTCCTCTCTGTCTTCGTCCTTCTATGATCCTCTGCTTATGAGCAAAGGGCACATTGCAGTCTTCCTGGTATTGGAGGTCTTACAGTCGATCCTTTCCCCGTCTCTCTGCCCCCTGATCTTCCTCTTGGCCAGTACGTTCTGCTCCTGTCACTCCTTCAGAGCACCATCTGCTTGGGAACTTTGTAAGCTGGGGGGAAGCACCCCTCTGTGCGGACTTGAGGTGACAGCAATGATCCCCAGGCAGAGTGAGTGCTTTGGGGCTGAAGTAGGTGACTTGCGTCTTCTCTATGGCCATTAACCCCTGCTGCCTTTGCTCAGCCCGTGATGAGAGTCGTGAAGTAAGTGAGGAGAAGATTAGGGCAATGAACTTTTCAGAGATGCTGCCGTCAGACAGCCAGTTTTGATTTACTGTCATGTTTTGCCACAATGCTGAGAAGAGTCAGACCTGCTCAGACATCTGGGAGGAGTGTTAGCCTGTGACTTTTCTCATAGCTTTGGTACACTTAGTTTTTCTACAGAACAACCAAGGGAGCCAGGATGCCTATAATTACAAGGTCTAGGGAGGCCRAGGCAGGAGGATTGCATGTTGGAGGCCAGCCTGGGTAGGTGAGTGAGACCCTGTCTCAAAATGAAATCAAAAGGGCTAGGAGCATAGCTCCATGATAAAGCAAGCACTTGCCTAGCATGTGCAAACCCCACCCCGTATCCCCAGCTCTGCAAAATAAAAGGGAGTTGGGGACAGAGGAAAGATGGAGAGATGAAACTCTTAACTGCATTTTTAAAGGTGACCTAGAAGTTGGGCATCATGYAGAGGTCTTCCAGCATCCAAATAACTGGAGTACTCCGGAGCCTTGGAACTCAAATTAAAACTAGAGTTTTCCCGTGGCCGTAGGTCATGCCATTCACACCCTTATGGACTCCGCAGAACTGGCCCCAAGAGCCTGCAGGTATCCCTGTGAGTGCTTGGGTCCTGTCAGCTGGCCATGAACGTTAATCGGCCAGCTGCCTTTTCTCAGTCCCCTGCTGCATTCTCAGGGCTGCCTGTTGGCCCTCGAGCATCCTCTGTTGAGAGCAAGTCACATGGGGGTCTTCCAGGAGCCCTGCTTTCCTCCCTTCCTTCTGGGGTCATCCCAGTGTGGCGGTCGTGGGGAGGCATGTTCCTACTCGGCACGTCTTTGACAGCCTGGGAGAAGTGAGTCGCTTCCTGTAGGCGCCCTGCAGAGGGTTCAGCTTCCTGAAAGGAGGAGTGGGCTCAGGCCTCTCTGCTCCAAGGTGGCCTTCCGACCCTGGGCTTTGGTTTCAGGAATTCAAAGGTGTTGATCAAAACTGCCTGTCACGTGCCCAGTGCCCCCTGCGGGCCTGTGGCTTTGCCTTCTGTGGCGCAGCAGCCGTGGCCCTTGCAGAAATGGTGCCTGTGCGCCAGCCTGAGCCCTTCCCGGCACAGTCACAGAGTGTGGGAAGAATGTAGAAATACCTGTCCCCTGACTCAGTGCCTCAGGCCTGGCAGGACGGGGCAGAGATCTCCAGGGACCCTGAGCCTTTTCCTCCTAGAAAGGGGAAGGTGGCCTCATGTGGTCATTTCCGTCTTGGCTCTTTGGTCAGGGGTACTAGAGCACCCTGAAGGAGGACGCTTTATTTCATTAAGCCCTGGGTGTGTGGAGCGTGAGTCAAAGATTTTTCTGCTTGCCTGAAGGATTCTTGGAGCAGACTCCCCCAGGAGTGCAGGTCTGTGCCCACACCAACCTCCGCCCTCTCACCTGTAACAGAAGAGGGCGCGCCCCAGGCTGTGGTCCTGCGGGTCCAGYGGCCACTCCCCTCCCACCTGTGGCTGCGCAGTGCTGGGAAGGGCACTAGACTGACTTGGGGTGTGCTGTAGGCATCAGGGACTCTGTGCAATCAGGGGAGGCTATCTATTGCTATTATTTTTKTGTGTGTGTGTGTGGGTTATATATTGAAATATCTTGGCTATACTGAATTACTTAAAACGTTATTAAACTTAATTCTGCCTATTTTTTTTCTTTTTCTTTGCAGCATTGGGGTTTGCACCTGAGGATGCTGCCCGCTGAGCTACATCTCCAGCCCTTTTTATGTTTTGAGTTTAGATTTTTTTAATGTGCCCACTCAAAAGATCTTAAATTACCCACATGACTTGCCTTTCTGTTTCTCTCGGATAGGTATCAAGTTTTATGGCTGAAAAGCACTTACCTACTGCAGAGTCAATTCCAGAAGTCCCCCAGTGTTCCCCGACATCCTGAGACATGGGTTGTTTTCAATCTGCCCCTTCTCACTAAGCAAACCAAGTAGGAAAATGACATGGGAAAGACCCAGGAGCCAGGTGGACCAGTCCTGGCCACCTGCTGTCCTCTGTGCACAGGTTGGGTTCTGAATGGCCACCTCCCACTATTGACCCCAGAGGACAGCCTTAAGAATTAGGAGGCCTTCCCAGAGTCAGGCAGGATGGGCTCGTGGGCTCTCCTGCTGAGACCGTCCAGGGCAGCCAGCATGTCTTGGTGTCCTGTTTGTAGACACCTGCAGTTGCTGTGTAAGACCCCTGTGTTCTAGTCAGGAGGTGCTTGGCTAGACCTCCGCATGGCTCGGAGTCACAGACCTGGGGCCAGTCCCAGCTCTGCTGTTGTCTGTGTGGGGACCTCCCGCCAATGAACACGCCTCTGAGATGTTGCCCAGCTTGTTGAGAACTTGGGAAGCCTCCATGCGTGCCTGTTCTCAGCTATTTGGGAGGGTGAGGCAGGAGGATCACAAGTTCAAGACCAGTCTGGGCAACTTAGTGAGGCCTGCCACAAAGTAAAAAGTATAAAGGGCTCGGGGAGTTGAGCGTGATGGATGGCGCACGCCTGTAATCCCCGTGGCTCCAGAGGCTGAGGTAGAAAGATTGCAAGTTCAAAGGCAACCTCAGCAAAAGTGAGGTGCTAAGCAACTCCGTGAGCCYCTGTCTCTAAATAAAATACAAAATAGGGCTGGGGATGTGGTTGAGTGCCTCTGAGTTCAATCCCCAGTACCAAAAAWGGGGGGGGGGCTGGGGATGTAGCTCAGTGGGAAAGGACCTCTGGGTTCAATCCTTAATATCAAAAACAAAACAGAACTTAAGGTGTGTGGCCCAGTGTCCAGTACAGACATGGGCTTCTGTCCTTGCAGTGGGCTCATACCAGGAGAAACTGAGAAAAATGGGGTGCCCCCTGCTAGCTGTAAACGAGTGTCCCCTCCCCACAGGGAAGTCCCACCTGGCCATCGTGCAGAAGGTGAACAACGAGGGCGAGGGCGACCCCTTCTATGAGGTGCTGGGCCTGGTCACCGTGGAGGACGTCATCGAGGAGGTCATCAGGTCTGAGATCCTGGACGAGTCTGCAGACTACCGTGAGTGTGACTTCCACTGTCCTCCCTGCCCTGAGGCATACCGTGTGCACACACTGTGAGCCTCTGCTCCAGAGCCCGCTGCAACCCGCCAGGCCCCTCCCTGCCCCCGTGGCTCAGTAAGGCCCACGGCAGGGCTCCCTCCTGCCC